AAGCTTTTTTATTTATTCTATTTATATAATAAAAGATTTTCATCTATCATCATATAGCTTTTTAGTTATCTATTAAATGGTTCGGGAAAAGTCAAATCCTTTGCGTTCCTTTTTAAATTAGATATCATAAAAAATCAATCTATTTGTAAAATAGAAGATTGTGGTAAGATCTTAACTGGAGACCATGCTGCAAATCTTGAACGACATATAGAAAGATTCCACAATAGGGAATTCAAATTATTAAGAAAAAGAAAGAAAATTTGACTATTAAAAAAATTCAAATAACGAAAACGGCAAACCAGTATAATACAATCCCAGATGCTTTTAAGTCCAACACTACTACAATACAAATCAATATAAATAAAGAAACTTTAATCCGCTCCTGCACCGAGCTAATAACAGTTCACGGTAGGCCAAATTGACGACAAAGCATTTCGAAATATTATAGATCCAATAATTATAGGATTGGGTGGAAATTTAACTATCAATTCGGAAAATATACGCAATATTATTAAAAAAATGGCGTTAGATTTTTCGGAAAATATAAAAAAGGAAGTGTATCAAAAACTTATTTCGTTAAAATTAGATATAGCAACTAGATATGATAGGTCCATATTGGGGATCAATATTTAATTTATAAATAACGGAAAAATAAAATTAAGGACTCTATGCATGAAAGTGATTAAAGAACGACACACATCAGAATATCTTAAAAAAACTATTCTAGATGTTTTAAAAGAATATGAAATAAAAATTGAGCAGATTTACACAATAACCACCGATAATGCAGCAAATATGATTAAGTTAATTAAGCTATTAATACTACACGATGAAGAAGATGATGACCTTAAGATTATTTAATTAATGATGATTTAAATAATAATGATATAGATAATGATGATTTAAATAATGATATAATTCATGATGAAAATAAAGAACCTTTTAATATTGAAAATATTAATCTTGCATCAAATGGCAGACCCATATTAATAGGTGTTAGATGTGCTTCACATACATTTCAATTAGCAATTAATGATTGCATTAAAAATTCAAATGAAATTGTCATTATAAATAAAGCAAGAAACATCTGCAAAAAAATAAGAAATCAGACAACAATGGCTATTCTCTCAAAATTAAATTTGAAAAAACCACTAATAGATTGTTGCACAAGATATACTCTATCTATTTAATGTTGGAGAGATTACTAGAGTTAAAAAGCTTTTGCCAAGAAATATCGCTCCAAAGCGATCAAAAATGTTTATCAGATAATGAATGGGAAATAATTAGTGACATATTAAAAGCTTTATATCCAGCTTATGTTTTGACAAAATATTTACAAAGTGAACAATTGACAATGGGCGATTTTTATGCTGCGTGGATCAAATGTCTCATGCAAACGAGTAAAGTAGACACTCCATTTGCCAGACTTTTAGTTTCTACGATGAAAGCATGAGAAATAAATTTTAAAAATGAAGTTTTTTCTCTGCTATTTATCTCGACCCTAGATATAATGTATTTTTAACTTTTGAAGAAAGAGAGATCGCCAGAAAACATCTTTGTAAAAATTGGAACTTGACACAAAATCTAAATAATCAGAATATTGAATTTCTAAATACTATGCCTACGTGATCGTATTCGAAGGATAATTTAGATGATGATTTTGAAGATTTATTAAAGTTGCATGAAAGTTTTAAGAATAATTCTCAGGGCATCGAAAATTATAATAAATGTATAGAAATAGAATATATAATTCGGTCATTTGATAATAAATAGAGATTAGAAAAAGATACTAATCTTTTGAATTATTGGGAAAATGTAAAGAATAGTATGCCAGAACTTTATAAGTTAGCTATAACTGTGCTAGCAGTTCCAGCTACGCAGGTCTCCGTAGAAAGAGCATTTTCAAGCCTTAAGTTTATACTCTCTGCGCAGAGAACTAAATTATATCCTGAAATATTAGAAAATATTTTAGTTATCCGTTCGAATTCTCTTTTTAAACCTAAATAGTATAGTATACATATTATTTTATTGATTATTGTATTTACGCATGTTTGTTTTTATCTTATTTATTTATGAAATAAAAAAAACTAATTTGTCTAATTTATATTTCCTAAATTTAATAAAAATATCTATTAGATTATCATGGATAAATTAAATAAGAAATTATAAACTAAAAAGATTTTTCTCTAAAATTAATATATACATGGTTAATGATTAATTTTTTTTAAAATTAAATTTATAAAAACCGGAACAAACCGAAAAGAACCGTTATAAATTATAAACCGAACCGAACCGATATGATTTTTTTTAAAAAAACCGAAATGAAACAAAACCTTTATAAAATTTTAAACTAAAAACCAGAACGAACCGAACCGTTTAACTAAACGGTTCGAAACCCTGCATGTAAGTAAAATTGTGTTTATTTATATTTAACTTTATCATCACTCACTTTTTCATTTCATACATCGTTTATATACATTTTTATAAGTCCAAATTAGAATACAAACGAAAAACAAAAAAGTAAAAATATTATAAAATATAAAAAGTAAGGTTACGCCATACATAAAAAATAAAGTTATAAAAATAAGGTTACGCAATAAAGTTATAAAATTAGATTACAAAAAATAATAAAAATTAGATTACAAAAAATTCAAAAACAAAAAGTAAAATAAAGAATTAGGTTATAACGCAACAATAAAATTTAATTTTTTTATAATTTTTTAAAAATATTAAGGAAAGAATGCAAAATGCCAATCTTTTACCCAGGTTTCCCCTAATCAGTTGTCTTTGAACTCAGCTGTTTCCTTTATTACGTTTGAATTTCTTTATAATTTCGTTACTAGTATTGTTAAAACGCTATGAGTTGCGAGTCAAAATTATTCGTTGTTTTTTCTACTCCAATTCAAAATTCGGGTGTTTTATTGACCTCGACCCGAGTAGAACCTAAAAATATGACCTCTACCCTAAATCTGGGTCTCTTTTTTCGACTCAGATTTAAAGTTTGGGTCTTTTTTTATAATTTCGACACAAAGTTGGGGTCGGTTATTTTGACCCTACTCGAAATTCGACCTGAATTCAATTCGGGTATAATTGCTATATTGTTTAAATTAAGTTTATAAATTGATTATATTTATTTTATTATTTTGATTTTAATTAAAATAAAATATAGTTTTTGGAAGATAAATCAGAAACATTAAAAAGTGGCAATTTACATATTCATTATTTTTAAAAATTTTACAAGCATTTGGGTAACAATATAAATTGTAAAGATAATAAATTAAGATATATGTAAATTTAAACCATATTTTTAAATTTTTTTGAAGTAAATGAGTGAAGGTATATTGAATATGAAGATGTACCATAGAATAGTGACAATTATCATATTCGTTATTTTCTAGAATTGAAGCAAATAGGTAAAAATATAAATTTCAAAATTAAAATTTCAATGATGATGAACCAAGAAGAATGACAATTATAATAATCGTTATTATTAAACACTTTTTTGAAGCAAATGGATAAAATTATAGGTATAGAAACATGTTAAATTAAGATTTCAGTGAAGATGTACCATGGAAAAATGACAATTGTCATAATAAATATTTAAAAACTTTTAAAATTTTTTTGGAGACAATGCATAAAATATATAATATTAACATGTTTCAATAAGGATATACCATAGAAAATTGACAATTGTCATCATAGACTTATATTAACATAAACTGCAGCGCCAATATAATGTTGTAAAAAATCGCTCATTTGGTAGCCATTTGCTAAGAAGAAACATTCATTTTAATATAAAAATATATGTTCTATTTGTTCCAGACAGCTAAATTTTTGATGCTTGGTAACATTCTTATATTTAAAAACTAAACTCCTATCCAATAAAAAATATTTTCTACCTATGCCGAAGGCTGGGCAAAAGCGGGCTGAAGACTCGCCAAAAGGGATGGGGAGCTCCCACTTAGGAAAATTTGGGATATGCCTGTAATAAGTTTTATTTGATAAATTATATATTTGATCGCTATTTTGTAATATCATTTTATTATAATAATTATAAAAGTATTAAATATATTTTCACAATATTTCCCTATTTCATTAGAAAATATAAATGTTAACCATCTAATAAATTCATCCTTCCATAGCTTAACCATCTAGTCCACCGGTCTTAAATGTCTACTCTATTTCCATTTTAAAAAAATTTGGGAAGCAAGATGCTTCTTGACCCTTCTATTTTCCCCACTCATGTAGACGCTGGAGTTTCTAACAATATGTATTTTTTAATCCTAGGGAAATTTATATTTAGTTTTTTTATATTAATTCAATTAGATTTTAACTTCACCAAAGGAATGAGGGGCACTACTATTTGGGATATTCTCCAAAATATTATTGGACAATGTATGTCTTCTTTTTGCAAACATTTTCCGGTTATATTTTTTATATTTGTATTTTTTTATATAAAATTTTTATTTTCTTAAATTTTTGAAGTATAATCATTAATTCAATAACTTAATTTAAGTTTATCTCTTTTAAATTATTGGATACCATTTTTGGAGAGAAAGGGAGAATTGGAAGGAAAGTATAGATAGGGGACAAATATATTAACTTAAATGATATTTACCAAAACAGGGAAATTTCTGAAGGTACAAAACTAATTCACGCTCCCCCCGAAACGCATATGAGCTATTTTAACCAGTTAAATTGATAGCCCCAATATTATTTAAAAAGGGCACTTAGTTCACTTTCTGGCCTTGAATTCAGAATAGCGAGAGTGCGAAAGCGATTTAACAGATCGATTTTTAAAATCTGTTTATGAGATCAATTTTTATTTATTAATATTAATTATCTCTTTAAATCGATTCATAATAATTAATCTAAGAAATATTTATTTTAATAAGGAAAAATTGATCTCATAAACAGATTATAAAAAATTGCCAGCTGTTAAAGAGATTGCAATCATGCTATAAATTCAAGGTGACAAAATGTTTTCAATAACGTTCAACGCTATATATCATTACACAGATATTTATCATATGAAATTATTTATATTTTTAACTTTTTCCTACATCCAAATAGTTAACATAATATGTTACACGCATTGGCTTGTAACTGATAAACACAAAATACATGCTCAAGTAAAAAAAAGTAGTAATTATTATCTAATATTAACTAGGCTGACTCAATATATGCATTAAAACGTCCACATGATTTAGTAACTTTTTTGGAGCAAGAGAGGCGTGCTTCAAAAATGGAATATTTAAAAAGAGAATTATTGCATCAGAAACTTAATTTAGATATATCTAATGATGTTAAAGATCTGAGTGATATTGATACCTGGTTCTATAAAAAAGATGCTGATTGTCAATTAGCTGCTAAGCCATTGGTTCAGTTAGACTTATTTGCAAGCACTCTCATAACTCCAGAATCTCTTGGATTAGAGTATCTACTTTGCTTTTAGATCTTATTTAAATTTATTTTATAGCCAGAATGATTTTATACCATTTCATTCTGTTACCAAAACACCTACCAAGCCAGAATGCTCCAAAATTATAGATCTTCCATATAATGATTTATCTTTTGATTATCTTGAGGTACTATAATAATTATTTGTAAGTATTGCTAATATTTAAAAATTTAAGAAATATTACATTATTTTATCATATTGTTTAATTAAAAATAGGATTATTTAACCTTTTTTATATATTAATATTTTATAAAGCTGTTACAGGAAGTAAACCTATTTTAATTTTTATATTATATAAATATTATTAAAAGTATGAATTTAAAAATTAGATTGTTAAATTAATATAAGTCAATAATTAAAATGTTTACTAGGGATGTGCTTTGGATGGGTCCAAAAATTGGGACTGCTACCAATCCAACATCATTATTTTTGGTTATTTTATTATTATATACATATATATTTAACATTTTTTATTTTATAAATAATTTCCTAATATTAAAAATGAATAAAAGAAATCAAAATTTAATTTATTTTTAATTTTAATGTTTAAAAAATTGGTAAAAGAAATTCCATGTCCTAATTCTCTTAACCTCTTGGGATATGGGTGGAATTTTACATTTTTTTTGTGTACTTTCATATGTGGTAAATATTTATTTATTTAATGCAGTTACATTTAATTTTTGGTGAAAGTATTATATTTAGTAATGCTGTTTATTTATCAATTAAAATTTTTTATTGATTTTGTAAATAAAAATTTTATAATAATAAATTTTTTTTTGTCAGTTAAAATACTTTATTTAAAAAACAAATTTTCACAAATTATTCTTTTACATATTATAATTAAAAATATATATATTAAAAAGCAAATAAGCATATATTATAAATGAATTAAAAAAATATGTATATATAAAAGAACTAATTTAAAATAAAAATTTAAAAAAAAGGGTACAAAAGTTTCTTTTATTTTAATTAATGTACCGAGAAAAATATAAATAGTTATTAAAAAAAGAACCATCAAACATTTTTTTCCACCATTATTTTTCTTCTTCTTTTTGGTATATATATTAGTTTCATGGTGACTATTTTTTTTATCCTTATTATATTGTAATCAAAAAAAGTGATAAAATAAATTATAAAAATAATTTTGAATAAAAGAAATTTGAAAATAATTGGGAGATTTAGTAAGAAGTCTGTATATATAAGTGTTTGTACATGGTTTCAATGTTTATTTTTTTATAAGTCATTAAGAAACGAATTTTGACAATGCTCTAAATCATATGAGAAATTGAAAATTTCAACTGTTTCATGGTTTACCCTTGAGAAAATATTGATTTGACATTAGATAAAAAAAATAGATGGCAAATGTAAGTCATAGAGGTATAGTTTATTTGACCGGTTTTATATAAATATTGAATTGGAACGTGAAATGGATAGGCACAGCTCTAGTTACTAGATCATCTATTTACTTAATGATAGATGAAGATATAATATAATTCCTGCGAGCCATGTTTTATTTGCATTTTTTATGGAATTTGCTAATTTATAGGATAATTATAAATTTATATGCTAGCACACTATATATATTTTAATATTAAATTTTCTATATAACAAACTTGTATTTTTATTTGAATAAACAATAAAAACGAATTCAATATCAAATAATGAAATGGATATTTTCCTTTATAGAAATAGGAGCCTCAAGTTTATGTAATAAGTTTGCCCTATGAGGCCTATCTTATCAAGTGTTGCCGAGCAGACAGATTTGAGTCGATTTTTAAAAACGGCTAACTAAATATTTTATCCAGAATAATACTCGGATTTTGGTTATATTGGGTAAAAAAGTTTGAATTAGCGAAATCTTAATTAGCTTTTTTAAAATCGCTTTAAATCGGCCGTTTACCAGCTGTGCAAAACTGATTCTGACGGAATACTTGTTGCAAGATGTCAAATACTTGGATGCAAGGCTTGCCAAAGTTGGCAACCTTTAAGCATTAACCCTCCAATTAACAAGAGGACTGGTCGGAGATAAAATATTGATATCTGTTGTTAATTAATCAAATTTAAATTTTTCGCGATTTTTTTAAGTTAACTGTAAGTTCTTTCTTAATAATAAAAACAATGGAATAAACAATAGAGAAATAAAAACGGGAAAATTGTGGGTAATTTTCGTTTAAAAAAAAATTTGGAAAATATTAAACATATTTTATTAGACACATTTTTATATGGGATTTATTACGAGAAAAGAAATTACTATGCGTAAAATCGGCATTGATTAAATTTTTTAAAATATCGGCCTATCCGATACTTTTTCTAAAAGTCTAATATCGGCACAGTTCCGCTACCGATATTTAATATCGATACAGCCCTAATAATTACCCTCTATAATGCACGAATGTTTATCAATTATAAAAAAAAATATGTATAGTTAAGGCAATATTTTTTGAAATTTAACTTTAATATTTCAATTTTATTTATAATCCTTTGTAAAAATGCATAATCAGTCAATCAAAAAACGTAATACATTAACCATTCCGCCAGAAAATTCGATAAAAATAGTTTTGCCGTTTGTTGAAAGTATAGCCGAATACGGACATCTTATAAATGAAGCATTGTTTAAGGTAAAAAAATTTTTAAATGATATACTTTAATAAAACAAAGAAAAACAAAATATTGTAGTTTAAAAACCTCAAAAAAGACAAATATTCAAATCATTTGATTGGGGGGTTTTTTTGAATATATAATAAACTATTACATATTTTAATAAATTAAATATTTGTTTATTCTATTAATAATATACTCACTCACGTTTTCTAAACAAACACGAAAATTTTTAGGGTATATAATTAAATCCAATTATGAAACTTATCTTTGATTTGCGTTTTGACTCATAAAAACATGGTAAATTCGATCTTATATATTACACGATTGCCTAAACCTTTAAATTTTTTTTGTAGATAAAATTTATATGTTTTATTTCATCTTCTAAAATCAAAAATTTATGCTTATTGTTATTGTAAATATTTATCAAATAATAAAAAATTTTAAATTAAAAAATAAATTCTAATCATACAAGCTCAGCAAAATAATTCTTTCTCTTGTTTGCAAAATATATAATATTTAAAAAAATAAAACGTTGATAGAATCAATCTATATATTGGTCTATTGATTCATTTTAATTTTTTTTATATTAAATCAATATCCCTGTTAATTATAATTCTTTTTTTTGTTCACTAAATATCTAGTATTAATTTTATCATGAATTAATGATAGAAGATATGCCAGCATTCTTCCTTCCATTCTTGTTAATCGTATATTTGATATGGAGTCAAATCGCTCTTCTAGTTTTTTTAACTTACGAATATAGTGAAAATAAACTCTTAGTTTTTTTTTGAAGGTAAAACCATTTTAGGAAATTTTTTAAAAATCGCCTCAATATTAAGGAAGGCTGCCTATTCAAAAAAAACACTATTAGGCTTTCTCAATATTTTCTTCTTTTGGGGAGAGGGGGGGGGGTTGGGTGGGTCTTAAATCTAATTTAAACGATGGCGCCCATTCTTAGAAACATTATTGGTTCTATCTAACTTATTATCCTTGATAGCAAATGGGTTATTATAAGAATATTTTCCCCATCTTTTAACTATCCGTTTGAGATCAATTCCCTTCAAATATAACTCTATATTAGCCAATATCTTAATATTTTTGATTATTTTAAATAAAATTAAGTTTTTTTTAATATTAATAATATAATAATGCGCGTTAAAATTTAAAGAATCAAACTTCCTGGATACTCTACGACATGGCCACTTTTTATTGGAGGATCAAAGGCGAAGCATCCAAAGCAATCGAATGTGTCAGACGCTCTCTTAGCTTCTCTTCTAAGTTTAAGAATCAAATTTTGTTATATATTGCGGGTAATGTTGTTAATTGTGCATAAATTAATGATAAAATGTCTAATATACATAATTGGCATATGAATCACTAAAATAGATGATGTCTCGAAAAAGCGATTAGTAAAGATAGTATAAATATTTTAAGCATTTAAAATTTGATGTATAAATTTAAATTATAAAAGAAAATGTTGGAAGTATAAGCATATGCAAATAAAAAAATTATTTTTTATCGTCTGCTTAATATTTTTCGAATAATTTCCATTTAAAAAAAATAAGTAAACGTTATATAATAGCTTCAGAGATTTTTCAGACCGAGGCTCAGCCTGGGAAGGCTCAGGTAAGCGCGATTTGCTCAAGCGGTGCGAGATTAATATCTAACGAAATCACTGTTATTTTTTTTTGAAATATTTATATAAACAGCTGAGGCGATTTCACCATTTCGCTCTGTATTTTTGTAAATTATACCTATTATTTATAGGGTTGATTATGTAAATTACCTAGCGAAAAATTTAGTATCGTTTGAGTGTATAGCGCTTACTATAAATGCAGCCTTAGCCTAATATATTTGTTATCAAAAAAAAAGTCAGTACAAGCCAATAGCTATGACAAACTTAGCCAACATTTTAAGCCGGGCCGGTTACCCGGAAGACGCATTGCACGTCCTTTTAACAATAAAAAACTTGTCAAGACCTTTCAACGATTTTCTAGTCCCGTATATGCTTGGAAACCTATATGCTGTAAGTAGACTTCTACAATAAAATAACATGAGATTTTCTAGTATAAGAAATAAAAAATTTACAATCATAAGCGTTAATTGTGAGTATCGAAATCTTTTTAAGACATTTAAAACAAATATATATTTATATCTTACATCCCGTTATCATAAAAATTTTTAATTGTAATTTCTTGCAGAACTTTGCGACATTATAACGATGCCTCCTCATTGTGTCTGAGTTAAGAGTTAAAGAAGATTTATATCCTTTAGATATGTCATCCTTTAAAAGTTGCTGTTAAAATTAAAATGCTACATTATTTTATATATCATGAATTCCTTGACAAATCAACATGCATGAGGTTATCACCTAAGATTTTTTCAAAATTTTTATTAGACCGAACCCAAACCTTTATAGGTCGTTGTTCGGGTTCCTACTAACAAAATAAATGATTATATTATTTTGCATTTCCTACGTAAGCTCATGACTAATTACACGGAATCGATCGAAGCGTTCAGGGAAACACTGAAACTGAGGCCTGGATTCAAACCGGCTATACAACGCCTGCACGCCGTTTTATGTCACAATAAGCTCATACAGGCACTCGAGGACCAACATAAGTTTGTTCTTTTCTTTCTTTTTATCTCTAGAATTTTTTTAGGACATTTGTATGTGTATAGTGAATTTATATAAATTTACTTATTTTTAAGTCTTCTTTTGAGTATGAATTATTTTTAAAAATTATTTATTAAATTTCAAGTACAATAAATTTAAATTTATATTATAAATAATTTTAATAAATTTATTTTCAATAGATATTTATTAATTTTTAACCATTTAAATTAACGAAACTTTTTTAGTTTTATATTACATAGTAATTTTAAAGTTTTTTTAAAAAATAGTCCTTATCACATATGATAAAAAATAGCGTATTTTATTTAGTAAGTTGGATTATTTCTTAAAGAAAATGTTTTGTCTTATTATATATTTGCAAAAATTATATTTCCTATTTTTTTTTTTTTAAAAACCAAAATGTTTTTTTCCCAAAGTTCTCTACAACAAACTCTCAATAAACTTCAAGAATTTCAAAAAAAGCACGAAACGTGGACAAAATTGTTCGAAAAAATTGGCACCGAAATCGTTCCTTTAGATATCAGGCTCAAACAGCTGTCTGTGTACGAGGATTTAATCACGTCCAACCCAGAGGATTACGATATGAAATGTATTTTAGGATATTTTTTTCCCAAATACCAAAGATATTTTATAGATGTTCTGAGTTTCTGAGCACGTTCATGTTTTAGTGACGTCACTGGTTTCTTTAATTAAAAAAAATATGTATATAATTTTAGCTACCGTTATGAGTGTCTTCCCTTGGAATGTATTTAGTAGAACTAATCTTTTTTTTATGAAAATAAAAGAAGATTGTTTTTATTGATATTTAAAAAGAAAATGTGGTTTGTGAGTATAATATTAGGTTTATATTCTATATCCTTAATCTGAAGAATGACTGAAAAGGTATCATTTACATGGCCTGGCCCGGATTTTTTTTTTTCAAAAATTTTTTTCGCTTCAGCCCGGCCCGTATTTTTCTAAAATATATTGTCTTCATTTATATAGCTAATTGACGATTTAAAATATTTGGTTTTAAAATAACCTAGCCCAGGAATTAAAAAAATTTTTTTTTGGCCCGGCCGTGGTAAATACTGTCCAAGTTTAAAACCTGTATATACATATATATATATATATATACACCATCATAGTTATAAGAGTTTAGTTAACTTTTCCTAGCTTATCGATTTAAATTAACCATATGATCATTCTCTACCAGTTAGAAACTTTGGTTTTCTTTTCAACGTTTTAATACATACAAATATAATAATATAATAAAATTTATCCAATTTTTTTTAAAAATCGAATATTTTCTTTTAGCATTCAATTCAAAATCCCTGGAATTCCCAAAGCATGAATCCGACGACGAAGATACTGGAGGCTTCAATTACAAACGCACTATTGTAATTATAGAAAAAAAAAATTAAATAGTTATTTTCATCTTCTGGCACACCCCGTTCTAACCTGAAAATAAAAATTAATTAGAAAGACCCTGGTAGGGTTTTCTAGGCCTCTACTTTACACAGAATATTTATCTTAGAATAAGCTCTAAATACCAGAGACGATATAGTAGTAAAATGTATGTGTATCTTGATACATTTTATATAAAGTATCTGGTTCTCGATACTTTATAAGATGCATTTTGATATATTTTTATTTAACACCTTTTTATATTAAAAATAAAAATATTTGAATTAAAGATAAACTATTTTAGGTATCTGTTTTAGCTACTTTTTGAGATACATTTTGATAATATTTGAATGCGAAATTCATTTTATTTTATATTAGCATATAATTAAAATAAATATTTTAAATTTTAAAAATAATAAAATATTTAAATAATATTAAAACTTATATATTTGTTGTATGTCGTATGGGGATTTGGAATTCGTGGGGATTCGGAATCTCTCAATTTTAAATCATTTACTAAAGGCGCTTTAAAAAGTTTTAAAATCTGATTTAACCGGAAATGTATTCTAGCATGTCTATTTACCCTATAAATGTCGTATTAGGATATGGAATCATGTGGGATTCGGAATCTCAAAGTGTGGATTCGAGATCTTGAATCCCCACGTTTTATTCGAAAAGATATTTAAAAAATATTCCGAATCCCCAAAAAAAATAAATAATATAATTACTTTTCCTTCCTTTTTTTTGCGGCCGGCACCATATAATTAAAAGGCCAAAATAAGGGATTTAAAAAGAGAATTTAAAAAAAATAAATAGTATAAAATTAAGGCACATAATTAATGAAAAGGGATGAGGTTACGACATTTTTGTTTTAAAAAATATTAAATATTTTCACATAAACTTGTTCTTGAAACATTCGCAACTTTTATTCATGCGACCCATTTTGCAATTGCATAACGATGTTTTCTCATAGTTTATGTGACATTCCGGGAAGCTCCTAAATATTTTTAGCACTTTAAATGAAAAATTAATATATTTTATGTTCATGAATTAATTTGAGGAGTATATTTGGTTACTATGAAAATAAAAATTTTTTAAAAAATATTTAAGGAGATTCGGAATCTTTTTTTTTTAAAACAATTAAATTATATTTTTTTGCCGCCTGGCTGGCACCAGAAAATTTTATTTTTTAGAGATATATTTAAGAGTATTACTTTTATGCTTTAAATCATTAAATACTAGAAAAAATGGTTTATTAATATCCGTAATTAAATGTAAAAAAATAAATATTATTTTTAAATTAATAATTTAGACAAATTAGAGGAAGAGAAAGAAAAAAAATTTTAATATCATCATTATTTAATTGTTTATAAACATTTTTTTTTTCATTGATAAAATGGTTAAATTATTAAGAAATGGATCTTTCATGGTTTTTAGAAGTCTTGGTAGTGTATGAGGTAGTAAGAATTTATCATCTCTTATATTCCATGTGCAATTAAATAAACATTTGTATTTTTTTTTGGTTAAAATTTTTATTCATATTTTGAAATTGGAAAAAATGACAAGAAATCAACCTAATTTGCTAAGCATCGACCAAAATTTATTAAAATGTAATAAGACCCCCCCCCCCCCATTTATTATTTTATTTAATATGTATACGGAATCACGAGGTCGAGTTCGATATCATAAACCAGAAATCACTTGGTTATGGATGGGTATAATAAAACAATAAAAGAATTAAATATAAAAAAAATTTTAAGTACCCCCCCCCCTCCCTGGTTCAAATTTTTAGAAGCAGTTGCTTCGAATCCTCAAGGTTTCCGATTAGGTTTCACTCGTTCCCAAAAAAAATTCCAGAAAAAATAACATCTTGAAAAAAGTAGTAGATATATATTTTTGAAATAAAACTAATTTTCACATAAATATAGATTTATAAAAAAATTCGAAATTAAAAAAAATTTATTTATTGTAACAATTATTCAATGCAATTTGGCATTTTGTTGAACATTTAAGATGACCATTAAAAAAAACATTATCACATTAATGAATATCGAAAATTTTGTATAATCTAATCAATATAAAAATAGTTTAAAATTTTGTGCCCTTCGTTTAAATTTCCAGAGAAGTGAGGATTTATTGTTTTGTTTTTTTTAAAATGACTATTAAAAAAACATTATTACATTAATGAATATCGAAAATTTTGTATAATCTAATCAATATAAAAATAGTTTAAAATTTTGTGCCCTTCGTTTAAATTTCCAGAGAAGTAAGGATTTATTGTTTTTTTTGTTGTTCTCTAAACATTCGCATCTTTTATTGATGCAACCCATTTTGCAATTGCATAGCGATGTTTTTCCATAGTTTGTGACGTATCGTGAAGCTCCTAAATATTTTTTAGCAATTGAAATTAAAAGTTAATATATTTTATGGTACATGAATTAATTTTAGGAGTATATGTGGTTACTATAAAAATAGCTTAAATTACCCTATGATTGATATATCTTTGTTGGGAACTTCAAAATCATTTAATTTTATAGTTTTATATATATATTAGGGGCAATAAATAGTGTTGAAATTCTTCCAGCAACACGTTTCCTACCCATATTTTATTTTGTTCAATTTTTAATACTTTTCCTTCTAAATTTTTAGGACAAATATTAGTTCTATCTGTCCTATGGATAGGTAATAATACGTGATCACCTAATATAAAGTTATTTTGTCCTATTATTTGAGAATAAATTATTTTTTTGATGCCCACGATGATTTAAATAAGAAATAAAAGAATGGGGCTATATTTAAAATTTTAGAAATACTATTCCCAATATTATTGCTTTTAAACTATTCACAAAAAAGTATGCCAATTAGCAAATTTATATTGTGTCAAGCTGCAAAAATATTAACTCCATGTTAAAAGTAAGGTTTTCTAAAAATTAGGCTGAGTCGAGGGCGATCTTTTTATTTTATTTAAAAAATCATTAAAAGCTAAATAATTTTTTTATAATAAATCGATAGCGATTTTTCTTGAAATTAAGGAAATGTTAGATTACATTTTTTTTAACGATTAGGGAAAGAGGGGAATATTAAATAAAAAGATATTTATATTCACAGATATGCCGTCACTTTTTTTTATTGTTTACCAAAGAGGAAAATTATGTGAATGTCATATATTATATCGCTACTAAAATAGCAAATGTTTCAAACAAAGATTCGCGCCATAGTCCGTATTCAAAAAATGTTGGCCATAAAATTATATGGAAAAATAGTTGTGCTGCCAATAATATTGAGAATAGTATTTCTAATATTTAAAAAAAGGGCCCCTTCTTTTATTTACTATTTAAATGATCGTGGGCATCAAAAAATAATTTATTCTCAAATAATTGGACAAAATAACTTTATCTTAGGTGATCACGTATTATTTATCTGTCCATAGGACAGATGGAACTAATTAGTACTAAAAATTTAAAAGGAAAAGTATTAAAAACTAAACAAAATAAAATATGTGTAGGAACGTGTGCTGGAAGAATTTCAACACCATTTATTGCCTCTAATATATATATAAAACTATAAAATTAAATGATTTTGAAGTTCCCAACAAAGATATATCAATCATGAGGTAATTTAAGCTTTTTTTATAGTAGACACATATACTCCTGAAATTAATTCATGTATATAAAATATATTAATTTTTAATTTAATAAAGTGTTAAAAATATTTAAGAGCTTTCCGGAATGTCACAAACTATGGGAAAACATCGTTATGCAATTACAAAATGGGTCGCATGAATAAAAGTTGCGAGTGTTACAAGAACAACCTTATGTGAAAATATTTAATATTTTTTAAAACAAAAATGTCTTAACCTCATCCCTTTTCATTTATTATATCCCTTAATTTTATACTATTTACTTTTTTTAAATCCCTTATTGGCTATCTAATTATATAGTGCCAGTCGCAAAAAAGGGAAAAAAAAGTTTTATTTTATTTTTTTTTCATAGGGATTCGGAATATTTTTATTCCGAATAAAACTTGAATGCCACATAATTCCATATCCCAATATGACATATATATAATTAATTTCCATTTAAATCTATAAATTTTAGTTCTCAATAGTGAAAGATATTTTTCTCAGTGTATTTTGCCCATGACGCCCATCCATTATTATAAATATTGAGTTCACAAAATTATTTTAAGCTAATAAATTTATTTAGAATTATTTTTATATAATTTTATAGATATTCCGCTGACTTATCATTAAAAATTAATTATAAATTTAGTGTAAAAAAATTTTTTTTTTGTTAAATTCTCGTTTTCAAATGAGAATTTATTTGAAAGAAATATGAAAATAGGAGACTTTTTTATATATGATGTTTTAATTGAATAAGAACAAAATAATTATTATTCTGTTTAAAAACATTGACGCACCCTGTGTATAATAAAAAATTGTACCTATATACAGATACATTTGCAAATACATCTAACTATATACTTTTTTTAGGCGATGTATCTGTAGCTAGATTCATTTTAAATTGTTTATCTATATTGGTATCTACCATTTGAAAAGTATCTTTTAACAATAAACCCTTAATACAAATGTTTCATTTCGCCAATATTTTTTATTTAAAAAAAAAGACCCCTTGATTATTTGAAATATTTTATTAGAAATCTAATGCTAAGGGTCGTTTAAATAAGCTCGAACAAGAGAATGAGGATGACGAGGACATTGCAAATGGGAAGGTGGAAAGTAAAGAAAATGACCAGTATCTCTCGCCAGAACCAAAATTTACGGTCGAAACGACTAAATGGCACAGAGCTAAAAGCAACAAAGAGTACGTGTCAAGTTAAATTAATTCAAAAATTAAGCGCATTAAATTAATAACAGCTAGTGAAATTTACATTAAAAAAAATCATTTCCTTCGTAATATTCTGTGTACATTTAAGAATATTATAACAACATAAACTTATAACCTATTATAATAAACAAGCGAATAAATGTGCCATCCATTATCATGTAGTTAATATACGGCATTTCCATATTTTTTTAAATTTATTTGGAAATAAAATTATTTGACTTGCAAAAAATTGTCAAAAATATCCTCTTCCTTCCTTCCTTCCTTCCTTCCTTCCTTCCTTCCTTCCTTCCTTCCTTCCTTCCTTCCTTCCTTCCTTCCTTCCTTCCTTCCTTCCTTCCTTCCTTCCTTCCTTCCTTCCTTCCTTCCTTCCTTCCTTCCTTCCTGCCTTAGAAGACAAGATATTTATGCAAGTTAAATAATTTTATTTATAAACGAATTCCAAAAATATGGAAATGTTTTAAATATGATTTGCACAATGCTTTATAATCTGTGCATTTTATTAATATAGTAAATGCATTTAAATTTATTAAAAATATATGAATTAGGGAGAAATATAAATTAGTTAATATTTATATGTTACGAGTATGAATAAAAATATACTATTTAAATGCAAACATTCTTTTAGGTCTGGGTGGGCCACATTTGACAGGAGTATATTACTATCTTACAGTATAAGAAAGTTTATGGTGTGTTAGCAATAAGTTACACTACTTGGGATTACTTCGAGAAATTTCTAACCGTTTATAGCAAGTGGAAAAGAGAAGGAAATGTTCCTTCAGAGTAGCTTCTCGATCCAAGAAATAACACGAAATTGCCAACTTAATTGTAAAATTTTTTGCAATGTAGTTGAAGGGGAAGGGTGGAAAGGGAGTAGTACCCAATCATGGATGGTGCCCTTTTCCGGGTATCATTTATCTATCGCGTCCGCCGTTCGAATTTACTTTAGTATTTATCGCTCTGGGATGAACGTCTTCTTAAAAAATATATCATAGATTTATATATATTTATTCACAATATATATTTTTAAATCCGATTATAAATAATATTAGTTTTAGTATATTTATTTTAAATATAATATTGAATAATAAAGACATTGATATTAAATGAAATACATAGATTTATTAACTACAAGATAATGGATAATACTTTTTTTGTACGCGCTTTATTGTTTATTTGTTCAATAATGTGGGGTTAATCAGTCTATGTGCCTATGTATGACAATTACACTTACAATGTTTAAAGATGGTATATTCCCCCAGCTTCGCTTTCTTTACTCACGGATCGTAGGGTAGTTATAGAAGCCGAACTTAAACGTTTACGGAAAGCGTCATCTCGCGATCATACAACTTTTCTGGACAAGGTGGAATGCTCCCAACTTTTCAAACACTTTTTACCTATTCAGAATAGAGACTATTTCAGGAGTTACAAGTTGACGTATGAATCCCAATTAAAATTATGTTTTTTTTAAAAAAATTGCTTTGGAGTAAAATTGATAAAGGTAGAGTTAGATTTATAACTCCACTAGGGTTCAATTATTCCTATAAATTTTTATATTTAAACCCCCACCCCATCCCACATACTTTTATTTTTTTTTAAAAGTCAAAAATTAAATTGAATCGTAAATTAGGAACGTAATGGACACGGAAGAAAGTGAGCAAGATGAAAAAAGAAACTACCACAACGCTAACAGGGAAGATGACGACTTTCTCGGCGTGGCTGCCGGCTATATGGCTCCCGAAAGCAAAGGATGGACGGAGTAAGTTGCAAATTGTTATGATAAGAATTAGGAAGGAATGAGAATAAAATATATTTATAAATGGCCTTCAGTGAACAGAGCTGTGCCAGTCAACCAGAGCTAATATTCTTGACATTCTCCCAATCGAATCTGTTCTGGGTTATTATAGGATAGATTAGGGAACATACCTTCAAACATCTATTTATAGTCCTAATTTATGCTTTTTTATAAAAATTCTAGCCTGGCCTGAGGCGAAATTGGTCATTTAACCGCTTCTGGCTCTCGAAAAATTATATTTCAGGCCCGGCTCTGGTTTAATCCTCTGACCATATTTTGTTTTGTTTTGATTAATGATCATTAGAGCTTGCCCATATAATAATAAAGATTGTGTAATCAATTTATACACCTCGTCACGATAATGAGTAACAGTACTGATTGTAAATTATACAAGAAGTAATGCAATTAGCTGAAAAATAATTTATATGAAAGATTCTTACCTCATCTGTACACTACATCGGTGCTTGAAGTAATAAATAGTTGATTCGTATGTAATATCAAGTTAAAGACAATCGTAATATTATAATTGGTAATCACTAATATAATAAGTATATCCATCATTACAATTCAACGTGCCAACATTCTCGAAGTAAATTCTTAATTCCTAGATTGGTTAATCCCTGGTAGTAAGTGTTGGGTCGATATGTTGGTAGCCCTTAACTAGAAAAAATGTTTGAATACGATCTTTCCATTGTAAATTAGCAACGCCATTTTTTAATAATATAAAGTACATTATTGAGAAAAACCAATCAGTAGATAGAATAAAATTTTATGATGGCCGAAACGTGGAATAACGAGACTTACAGGTTGGGAGAGCCAATTTACATTCCAATCAAATCGAAACATCCATTAATAAATTTTACCACAAGGGAGAACATATTGTATTTATAAATTACCATTTAGAAAGGATGTTTTTATAACGTGAATACAATTAATGTATAGAACGGTAGTTATTTCTGTCACTCGGTTTTGACATAAAAATGAAAGTTAAAACCCTATAATAATCAACCTGAAATATTATTACCTTTCTTTTTTTAATACTTTTAGAACCTTAGCATTGTTGAATCACAAGCAAGGTTTGGCTTTACCTCTCACAACCTCTTTCGAAGATTCCGAAGCATCGTTAAACAATCAGGAATTAGAGATAGACCCAGAGCCCTATCACCATTCCTTTCCATGGAAATCACCAGTGTGTTCCGATTTTGGGAAGATAGATTGTAGACCATCTCAATGCCACCAGAATCTGACAAAATCGCTGAGCGATAAAATAGAGGCCTACGAGAAATGGACAATGGGCCAGCCTTATATCGATATAGACCTTTCTTTGTCTAAAGTTTGCCATTATCTATCCATGCTATGTATTGTATAACTAAACATTTCTTTTTACTTATACACAAATTGTTAAAAAAGATCTCAGAACTGAGATGTCGCTTTTGGATAATTAGATCATTATTACAGGGTAAATAGATATTTATATGTATATGTACTATTATTTTTTGGAGATGCCTCCATAATCATGACTTGCATATTTTTCTAAAGGGTTAGTTGGAATGTTGCCTACACACACTATTTACCCTAGATATACTATTTTTGGCTACTGACGATTTATTATTCGTATGTGCAAGATTTTGCTAGATAAGTGGTAGCACAATTGGGTAGAGGATTTCCTCATAAATTATACCGGGAAATATTTAAGCCCGTTTATTGCACCTGAAAAAATAGATTATTAAAATTTAAAAAGCGATTTATAGATGTGGAAATAAAGTTTAAAAATGGTCCATAAGTACTATGCTAAATACCAATATTTATGAATAAATTTTAGTTTCGAATATTCACGAAAAATTTAAAATTTTACACGAATTTGTAATAATTCGATCGGATAATATTTCCCCTTATTTCTATTCAATTAATTTTGTGATTCGTATTCCTCGTAAAATACTAATCGGATCGAATAACTATTAGTTCGTTTTAGATATAATATAATGCATTTATATATGTGTAATGTCACATAGTCGATAAAGCTGTATTTATAAATTGAAGTATTTGCACACTGCAAAATGCAACCCTTTTTTTACATTCATATATATAGCTTTGTAAAACAATTTGTTTTAAAAAAATAGTTGATAAATTATTGCCTTTTAAAAAATAAATTTAAAAAGGATTAATAATTATTTATAAAAATTTTAACATATAAGGTGGCGTACTTAAAGACTTTTAAAACGTAAAATACATTTGATTTTAAACCGGATATAAGAATTCTGATTATTAGCCCAATATATCAAAATCATTGGAATTAGATTAAAATTAATATGTGCCAAGTTGCTCCACGAGGGAAAAGAATTCTAAATCTTGAGAGATTCCATACCCCGTTTTACACGAACGACTTATTCAACCAATATGTACTTAATCCTAAAATAAAAATAGATGCTTGGCATTTAACGCCATCTAATGGACACTATTTTATTAATTTTTAAATTATAAATAATATTTTCTTAGATGTTTTAGTTTTGTAATACGTCTAACTTTTTCAATAAAAAATAAACGCAATACTTTTCCTTATTTGATTATGGTTTGGCAAATTTTCCAAAAAAAAAATGTGTTTCGAATTATACAAAATATACTATATATTTTTTAAAATTCTATTATACAGTGTTGTTATGATTTAATGAAACAATTAAACTTTTCAAAAAAAAAGTAATGTTTTTATCTCAACATTTTCTTTCAAGTTTTTAAAAGTAAATTTTGTTATTATAATTTATATTTGTAAATTTTTAATGAAACATGTTGTGTTTTAACCTGTGTTAAACGACTCGTTTTGAGTTTTTTTGAAAACGGCTAACTCAATATTTCATACAGAAAAATATTACGCAAGCCTGAAGATTTTACTTATAGATGGCACGAAGGTCTAGACATCAATTAGCAAAATCTCGAGGATTGGGCAATATGTCTTCTGGCTAAAATATTGAGTTAGTTGTTTTTAAAAATTCGCTCAAAACGAGTCGTTTAACAACACTTGTACGATTAAAATTAATTTTGCAAATATAATTAAAAGTGAAAGAAAATGTTGAGAAGAACATTATTATTTTTAAAAACTTCCGGTAATTTAACTTAAATTAAAACTTCTAATAATTCTTTTTTTAAATTTGCGACAATCTTAATTTTAAACTTCTAATAATTTTTTTTTTCCGATTAAAAACTATATTTCTAATTTTTTTATCGCTAGTATTTTAAATCAATCTCCAGTTTCAGGTTTGTCAATATAATATTCGATTATTTACTAACTTTATATACATAGTTTTTAGATGCACCTATGAAACTTCATATTCTCTCGGGGAGGTTATCTGAAATAACAATTAGGTACCAAAGTTATTCACCTACCCCATCAAATTCTCTTAGGTGTAACTGACACAAGCCGATGTCAATATTCGAATATTTAAGAGCAACAAAATTTTGATCCTATTCGTTTGAAGAAAAAAAATGGTAATTGGAGCTATGAAAAAAATGGAATTGGCTAAGATATGGCTGAGAACACCAATTGACGATCAGCCCAATGCAAAGACAATTGCGCATGATCTAAATTTATCCATTGGTTCAGTTTATCGTTTCAAGCAGGAAACTTTCCTTGAATATTGTTAAGAGCTGGTTAAGAAAATCAAAGTATGGAGGTGGGGAAATTTGGATAGCTGTAGCTTATTATAACAACAGTCGAAAGGGGGAAGAACAATCTCCAGCAGAGATGTTTTTAGGGCGGCGAACCAGGATATTATTGGATTTATTAAAACCAAAACTACATCTAGAGGTGGAGAGAGAGATAACGAAGAAACCTGAATTTATGGTGGGGCAAACCGTGTGGGCAAAAATATATGGAGGTACAAGAAGGTGGGAGTCAGGGGTGATCGTAGAAAACATTGGAAATAAATTAAGTCGAGTAAAGTTCTCTGAAGAAAAAGAAGGAATAAGGCATAGGGACCAACTAAAAAGGGGACTGGAGCTAGGAAGATTACGATCTGGTGTTTGAAGCAAAATGATATTATATGGCATATTATATGAAATTAAAAAGGAATGTATTTGTCTATGTAATAATACCATGAAATATTTATATGTATATATGTAACGTTTTTTTTGGTTAAATATCAAAATTAATATATCCAGAATTAATCATAGATCCATTAATATAACATATAGCATTGTTTAAAAATCCTTAATTTATCCAAAAATTAATCATAGATTTATTGATATAATATATAACATTGTTGAAATTCCCATTACGGGATAATATGTATCTTAAAATAGCAGTGTGATGTTCCAATCATATGATACTTAATAAACGCAATTGAGAAATAAAAAAATAAAAAACTACTATTTCTTCTTTTTTCAAGGTTTTTATAACCCAACATAATAATAATAACAAAATTATAATATTGATAAAAAAAAATAATATTGACAACAAAAATTATTCAAAATGACTTGCTATAAAAACAAAAAAAAATATTTACAACACGCCCCCCATTAATTACAATTAAACCTGCTATATAAAGAGAAGAAGAAAAAAACTAACATGAAAACAAAAAAAAATAACATTGACGAGAAGTGAACAACACTATTGTATATATATTATCACACATATGTTTCCCCTTTTTTTTTATTTATTTTACAATTATATATTTATCTTTATTTTTTCTTATACTACCAAAAAAAAATCCTATTACATATAATAAAAATCTTCTTACTGTTCTCTAAACAATTCCTCTAACTCCTCGGCCGATATATCAACTATCGGCCATTCTTCCTGCAATTCAGCGTCGTTATTAGAATTTGGTGCTGACTCCCGCGACGGTTTCACTACTGCCACCGGTCGCTCAGTCTCCAACTCCCCAGTAGTTGTTTGTATGTTTTCCGCCCTTGTCACCGCGGGTAACACGGTCCGAACTGGCCAGGCTCCTCGTCTCCGCTCCCCACTACCACTTTCATCCCTTGCTCCTATGAAATTTCTTCTGCCGCCATCATACCTTCTCACAAAAGCATGGCGGGGCCCGCGGGGGCATCGAACTTGCAAGTGACCTCGGCCTCCACAGATGAAGCATAATCAAACATTCCTTATTGTGCGCCTGCCCGAATTATTGGGTTCGGGCAATTTGGACTCCCGCCCCCCTCCGTTGATCATTTCAAATGGCGCTATTTGTCTTCTTCGCGGGGATCTGGGAATGGGTCTCGATTCGGGATACAAACGATTTCCCTCTGCATCTACCCTGCCCTGGAATATACTAATGCGAATCGTGATATTCTTCCAATACATACATTCATGGATGGCTGCCATTCTAAGTCTCATTATAAAAGAAAGGTATAATAAAAAAAATATATAATGTACTTTTAACAACTTCTTGAATACAAAACGAATTTCTTTACAACTAAAATTTGTTAATAATTTATTTTCTGAATGAATTTAAAATATAAAATTTTGGATACTCCTCCTTTTATTCTTTCCAATAACCCTCTTCAAAACAGGGCAGGGTAGATGCAGAGGGAAATGGTTTGTATCCCGAATCGAGACCCATTCCAAGATCCCCGCGAAGAAGACAAATAGCGCCATTTGAAATGAGCAACGGAGGGGGGCGGGAGTCCGAATTGCCCAAACCCATTAATTGGGGCAGGCGCACAATAAGGAATGTTTGATTATGCTTCATCTGTGGAGCCCGAGGTCACTTGCAAGTTCGATGCCCCCGCGGGCCCCGCCATGCTTTTGTGAGAAGGTATGATGGCAGAAAAAATTTCATAGGAGCAAGGGATGAAAGTGGTAGTGGATATTACGACGACTCATCTGATTATATAATAAAACAGAAATTGGAAGAAGAAAGACAACACAGAACTTCAAAATATAGCTAAATTGTTCGGTAATAATAACGGCTATACCATTAAAAACATAATAGAACATTTATGCACATCTAAGGATGAGTTAGTCGTCTATATCAAGATGCATCAAATCAATGGAATGGAACCGGAAAAGGTTTGAAAAAGAACCCGATTGATGGAATTTTCCAGATATTATATAGCCTAAAGATGATGAACGTGCGATTTCAAAATATATTCTATTTAGATAAAACAGGCTTCAATTCCCATTATGGATGGGCATCTCTGGGTAAGAGGCCATCCGTCAAACTCCCTCCTTTAAAGGGGAAAAACGTATCGGTTTTGTGTACCATAGGAATTAATGGTCTCAAAAAATGCACCATTATTTAAACGGGGCATTTACAGTACCTGGGTGAATTATCATCTATTTTGCCGTTGAATTCACTCATAATTATGGAAAATGCGCCTATTCATCGTGCTAATGTAACTCAAAATGAACTTAATATAGTATATCTTCCACTCTATTAGAGAAATCTAAAGGCTTTGGCAATAATTTCTGGCCAAAATCTTGAGTTAGCGCTTTTTAAAAATCGGCTCAAATCGGGCGATTTAACAACACTACTCCACCCTCCCTAACGTTCGATCAGTCTACGGCCGAGACTCAGTCTACAGCGAATACAAATACGTTTAATTAAAAAAAAAATTATTATACCGGTATTGCAAATAAAGTTTTACGACTTATTTAAATCCATAATAATTTAATTTTGACATAATTTTATCACTTTTTTACCTTTCTTCCCATAATCCTCATTTAAATCTTTTTTACTATCCTTTTTTATATACAAAAACAAAGGGGCTAATTAATTTTTTTTTAAAGTTTCTATAAATGATTATTAGGATCTTTGCCTCTCCCCCTCATGCCCTTTTTTGATGGGCCTTCGGTCGGATTTACTTTATTTATTTATTTTTAGCTTTCACCTTTTCTGGTGGTAAGATCCTTCAATGTCTCTTTCCATTTTATATTATTCAAAAATATTTATGAAAGCGAAGTTGATATTTGTGATAGAATTTTGTTTAAGTAAGTTTCCTCGTAATATCAAATTTTAAAAAAAATATATTTACATTCTATATACTGAAAATTGACTTAAGAACGTAACATAACGCTTGATCTTACGAATGAATGATGTTAAAGGTTAGCAAGCCATAAATCGAGCGTTTCGATAATAAAATTCTAATATTTCCAATGTTGGTACTTCAATATGTTTCTTAGCCTTATATAACCTTTTTTACACAGTTTCATGGTCATGAGGGTCTATTTTCAGGAAATAATAGTTTCACATAAGTATTTTATTTTACCCTTTACAATGAAATATTGGTGTCCGGCATCACCTTAGCTCTCCCTTTTAGATGGAACTCATGGTGGTCATAAGGTTCCTTGAGATAATTAAGCATTATAAATAATGAAAGTTGAAATTGATATAAAAAATAATCATCCTTTATTATATTTGTAATTTAAAAAAGATCATGATACGATATCATAAATTTTACCTCTATTTAAATAAGGTATTAATTTAATAAAAATTTGAATCTTACTCCTCGATGACCATATCAGATTCGATTTTTAAAATGGCTCTTAGGTCACATGTAACGATAATGATTTAGCCATTTTTATAGGATCTACTCAGTTACATCGATACAGATTATGAACTCAACGAAGAGGAAGTGGGGCAACGTATATTGACCGCTTTGAAAATGGTATTTTATCAATTATTAGAATCTAAATTGGGCATAACAATTTTAATTTATTTATTTAAAACTAACTTTAAATATTTGTTAGCTTGAATTTATCTCCCCCCCTCTTTAATTGTTTTATTATTTTTTAATTATAATATTAAAATTTTAGTCAATCCATTTATAAATGGGCTAACTTTTTCACCTATTTTCTCCGATATACACTCGTAAAATTGAGCAATAGTCAAAAAGTTATTCTGGCAGTTTTTGTTTTAAAAATAAGAAAATGGACGGTAATATATATTTACTTTGGGAGGTGTAGTATTTAATTTAAATAAACAATATAAAAATCGTTTGGTAGGTTGTGTGTTTTTTATGATTTTATATTAATATCAAATAATTATAATAATACGAGCAACATGCTGATATTTTAAATGGCACTTTTTTTTAAAAAACACACATTTACTATAGGGAAACGAAAAGGATTGGTCTCTTTACAACCTAGCAGCTTTGTATTGGAGAATCATGGGCAATGTTAGCCAATCACTAGAATGCCTCCACAGATCTTTCTACTACTCTCCTCTAAAATACAGGATAGTTCCGTTATTCAATATGGCCGCATTACTAGCCAAAAATCTTAGGGCTTATAATCATAGTCTAACTCTCCTTAAAGAGGCATCTACCTTAGATAAGTATGACGTAAGTTTTATTTATATATATATTACATGATTGCAAATCAGGAGCATATCTGAAATATACCCAACACTATTTATTAATTTAAGCACCTAATCTAATTAATCAATTTTTGGATTTAATTTTAAAACGATAAATAAATAATAAAATGATTTAGACGAAGGTGACCATGTTGATGGCCCATCTGACTTACCTAACGGGCAATATGACGGCAGCTTCCCATTACTACCAAGAAACATTATTTTTAGACGCTCCCCTCAATTCTCCTCATTCCATCAACAAAGAAGCCCTCATAGGTCTTGTAAACAAAAATGTCTATCTATACTAATCTTTTATATAAAGTCCGTGTGCATATCAGAGTCCTGCGAGGCCCACCCGTCAGCCGAGCGCTGGAAAGTGTCGGTTTGCGGGCAGGCTCGGGCCGGAAAAACTGATTCTGCACTTTTAAATAAGTTTATTTTTTTTGATAAGCTAACTCTGTATTATAAAGATACAATTTACTTGTAGACAAGGTTAAGCTTAATCTGCAAAAATATATCCCATTAAAGGGCTTTGGGAACTAGTTCGGAATTCAAAATTTTAATCCGCCCGGTCCCAAAATACCCCGGATTTGATTTGGTTGTTCAAAAATAGGCCCTGTTTGGTTCCATGTTTGCACAATGTTCAAGAAAATATTTTCGATAATTTTGAAGCCTAAACTAGGTCGAAAACCCTCATATCTATCTATATTTGTGTATCATGATTTATACATTATTTTTTTTAGAACCTAATTATTCTTAATCAATTACTTTCTACAATTAATAGGATTCGAGCTGGTAGGCTGTAGATTAGCTTTCCCTGATCAGTACAAAGATTTGGAACAATCACATACATTAAACGTATATATAAATATATATTTATGCCATCATTCTATCTAAATGAAATCTATTTTCGCTTGATTTCAAATATTTTATAATATAATTTTATAAAAATCGAACACTTTCGAGAAACGTAAATGTACAGAAATTTATTTAAAAATATTTTTTTAAAACTTCTTTACATAAGTTGTTCTTCGGTTGCGACTAGTTGTAATTTCGAAAAAAAAGTGGGCGGGGCAATGACATATAATAATGCCTAGACTGACGATGCATTTGAAAACGTCATTGAATTCCAATCAGCTGGACCCGCCATTTTGGTGACACGTATAGTAATTATTCTCGTGTTAAAAACTACTATTGAATCGAATAACTTACCTCCTTATTATCTCAATGGTCAGGCAATTCTTTAATAAAGGTTGTGGGAGACATAGGAATAAATTGGCCTCTCGTTTACAATTTTTAATAATGATATTGGTAAATCAAAATTGCGTCCACAGCTGTTTTCATTGATGTACACTTTTAATGAATGCATCATCAGTGGGGCGGGAATAATTCTCGATTCCAATATATACACAGAATCATTAAAAATATTTTTTGGGCCATTTCCAGAACAGAGCGTTTTTTTTCGAAGCCATTTTCTAGGCATGTTTTCACGCTTAATTTTCATGTTTTATATTCCGAAATAAAGGGATAATAATTTGTCGAAATTAAAAAAAATTTTTGTGTGTAAATTAGCTGAAAATATAATCGTTGTTCTGTCTCGAAATGTATGGTATTAGTAGTAAAATATTTGTTTGCAATCAAAGAATATCATCCCATATGATATCAAACATTAATTTTAAAAAAAACATCGATGGGGAAAAATAAGGAAACAATTTACGACGAATCGCTCGAAAATGGCGAATACAGCGATTATTTTGATTACGATGACCGCATGCTCAATTTCGAAACTTTCGAAAGTTTCAACCTGACCGAGGAGAGTGCCGATGAAAATGTTAACATGAATACTCACCACTTTAACAACGTTGACGAAGGTTTTTTTTTTGAATGATTGCTTTTTTATTATAAAGTCCTATCTAGACCGAAATTTTAAAATCTCAAATAAGAAATAAGAATTTTATGTTACCCTTTTTATCAAGATGGCGGAGATTTTTTTAAATATTATTCCTATCAAATTTATATATGAAGAATGTTTCTGCTATATTGGTCTAGAGATGATATCATTTTACATATTGTGACATCCTAAAAAAAAGTGGTATTAATTTAGGTCCAAATATTCTAATTTATATCTAATTATGAAATTGTTCTATTTGATGGGAAACATCTTTCTTATTGTTATTTTACATATAGGTCTCATTTACAGTAAACTCGTTATACTTCAAGCATCGCGTTATTTAACGCTATCGAAATCACGGCTGATTCTTTATAGCGTTAATAATTTTTGAAATACGCGTTGCAACATCTGTTTTTCAATATTCATCGGGCGTTATCATCATAAAGATCCATATTTATAAATTATACTGATTTATTTGCTTGATTTTGTAAATAACGCACCGCTTAAACATAACGCGTTTACTATTACTTACAAATGTTTTTTTTTTAAAAAAAAATTACGAAAACAGATAAAAATCGTGTTAAATCTAAAGAAGATTTTGTACCAATACTGCCAGTGGCCGAAAAGTTGTTCGATCTACCTTCTGACACTAACGTTTTATTCTATATTATTATATATATTTGAGTTAAATTTATATTCTTCATCAGAAGTTTCGAACAAGGAACAGGAACCCTCAGAACCCGAGTCAAATTTAAGAACTGGAAAATACTTTCTAAAATTTTTTTCAGAAGGAATCAGAGCCCGTTTTAGTTCAGCTTCTAAACCTTGATTCTTATTAATGCGAAAGTGAAATGAAAGCTTTTTCACGTTAGTAATATAAAAAAAAATTGTTTTATTCGCATTTTACCGATAATATTGCCTTTTTAGTTTTTTTTTACCCCATTTTTTAAAATATATTTCGCTTTCCCTGTGCCTTAATTTTCGACATGGTTTGGCCAAAAAGTACTCAAATTATACTCGAACATAGATACTTATTTTTATATCGGAGATACTGTCTAATCCTGCACGTAATTGTATTTTTTTTCTACCTCTCCTAAAAAAAAAAAATTTAGGATCCTATTCACCAAAGATTATTGGACGAAACATTACCCATTGTGCTCAAACCGAAAGATGTCGAAATATTAAGTATTTTATAATATTTCAAATGTCTATTTTTTTAAAATATTTTTTACTTAAAATGAAAACCTCAGTTATCCTTTACGATTAACATTATAAGATAAAAATTTTAAATAGGATCTTGTAACGATGGCAATGAAACGTTGATTGTTCAACGGGTTACTTGTACAAATTATAAACATAATGTTAAAAAGCCCTATTTTTGAATCGATTTTTCATTAAGATATTAGCCAAAATAATATTATGTAAGCATCGAAATTTGGGAAATAGATGTCCAAACATTTCTGTCAGTTATATCAATTCATGTCTGTAAAATAGAAGGGGAACTAACTTATAGGCTCAAATGATTTTTAATTCCATTTATTGATTCTTGATTTTAATCATCAAAATAATATCGTGCATTTATAAACATTTTTCATTGATAAGATCCGTTTCTTCATTACAACATACCCAAATACGATATTGGTTTGGAGAATGATGATTGCCTTAATGCGATAGCTATCGATTTTTCCAATGTCCCGAGCACTTGGCTTTCCATACCCCAAGAACTGATCGAGTGAGTATTCAATAAGTCGCCTAAGAATTAGAATATTCTATCTCCACTTTTTGTAATTTTGCAAATTTTGCAGGGATTTAAAAAATTAAGTTTTTATTGTTTTCAATAGAGTGGTTAAAAAAAAACCTTGTATCGGATTTAATTTGAATTATTTTATAAATATTTCTGATTTAAATATAAATGTCACAATCATAAGTTAATTGTAATAATTTACATACAAGTTTTCATTTCTTATATAGCGAATTCAAATTTCCGTGAATAGTAGATATTCAATTAAAAAATATTATACTGATAGATAATTTTCAATTGGTCAAATAAATTACAAATTAAATGGTGATTAATAAAATATTATAAAGTATTCGACGTTTAATTAATAAAATATTATAAAGTATTCGACGTTTAATTAATAAAAAAAATAATTAGCTATGATAATCTGATAAAAGTTGTCATGTAATCATTTCTAACATTTTTCTCTTTCCATCAGGAAATGATGGGCGATTTTAAGTAAAAGTTAAGTTGAATAAAATAAAATATGAGTGTTAATATTCGCATAATATGTGAAAGAAATAAATTCATTAATTCAATCCGCCTTGAAATTGCGTGAAAATTATATCGCCCTCGAAAGATTTGAAACGTGCTTCCATATAAAGATTACCTACCCGTTTTATTATAGAGAACGGTACCTCTATGTACTGTTAGCAAAGGAAAACAGGTGTAGTAGAGATTATTAGTTCCGTTTCTGGCAGAATTATAAGACGGGTATGGGCCTAATATTGTATTTTATAGCCGGACCTGGGTTTTTAAATTTTTTTAAAAAACTAATTACGATTAAATATGGGCCAATTCTGGGCTTAAAAAAAAAATTTTTTTGGTCTTGGATCAAAAAAATTGATAAGAAGGCCAATTTATATCTCATCTTAGTTTTAGTTCTTGTTCATAAAGTAGGCATCGAGAGTTTAATCTTTTGATAGCCGGTATTATTAAACCTATTAATTACCATCAGATATTTTTTATGGCGTGCTCGGGCATCCTATCATTTAGGAATGAGATGACTGAAAGTGACTATCAAATCGATTCCAGTCTATCAAGATAAATTGTATGACAATTGAAAGAATATTTTAATGATGTAATAGCATTTTTTATATAAATAAATTAAAAATTTTTTCGTTACCATCCATAAGTTCATCTATCTCTCAAAATTTGGTAGACGAGTGCGTCAAATTTATCAAAATGGACTCTCCGCATCCTCCTTCGCATTTGAATGCGGAGCCCATCTGCCACCTCTCGAAGGCGCATTTCAATAAGCACCATAGAGCTTCACAAAATGGGGGAGAAACAGATTTGCTCCATATTTTAAACGCGCTCGTTAGAGAAGCCCGCCGTAAAGAAATGCTAGCGGCGTCTAACAACGAGAAAGGCTCGCTAGTCCAAATGAGATCGCTAAACTCGGAGACCGGTTTGATTCCGATTCTCAAAAAAGTAATTTCCGCAAAACTGACCAGAGCCTTGGCCGACGCTGACAGCGTCACGGATGAGTCATTACTTTCTGATTCGGAGAAGGAAAAGGTTTTTTTTTTTTAAATATAGTAAAAATTCATATATTATAATAAATTGGGGAGTAATCAAAGGTTACATTTTTATATCATCGTTAATAGTTTAAAAACCATTATCCCAAACTCTCGCATATTTACAAATGCAACATTTTATATAGTGGAAAGGGAATTAATTGGTAGCGATAATAAGATCTATGGAACATAAAGTTTTTAAAATCGCGTTAACAAAGCTTAATACCAATGGCACATAATTTTACCTAGACTGACGATGCCTTCGTAATAAAGCTTTTGAAAGCATCGTTGAATGCAAATCAGCTGGACCCGCCATTTTTCTAACGAATATAGTAATTATTCTCATGTTAAAAACTACTATTAAATCGATAACTTGCTTCCTTATTATCTCGATTGGGAATGAATTGGCCTCTCGTATAAATTTTTTTAGTAATGATATGATCAAAATGGCGTACCCAGCTGTTTTTCGTTGAAGTACACCTTTAATGAATGCATTGTCAGGCTAAGGTGTTATATGTCATTGCTAAATACTGAAAAAGGGGTGAACATTTTTTGGTTTTTCGACCCGCTTATTTGATACAAAAAATATTTTCTTCTTTGCTATAGTTTATTATACATAAAATCATGATTAGATACCTTAGTCGAACAATTTTACGGAACTCGACATACATATTTTAAGACCCTTTATATCACGATGGTACCCTTGTACCAGTGGTCTTTTTTTTAAATAGGATTATTTTAAATTATTTGGGACGTTATAAATATGTCCCCAAAATTCTTTGTCAAAATGTACGTAAATTTTTATGCTTTTTTGGAAAAGAATAAATAATTTTTTATAAATCACGTGATTTGAAAGCATTTTTAGCACTTTAGAGTTAATTAATTGGTAAAAATCAAAACACATAAAATGGCGATATGCTAATTTTCTTATTTTACATTCCACGTGATCAAATAATACAAAGTTTACGAATAAAGCCATAATGGAGGTATTGAAAAGAGGTCTCTCTATTGACCAACCAACAACGTCTTGGGTCGTACCCGCTTTAACCTCTTTGTACTGGAGAGCTAACGGCAACACATCCCAAGCCCTCGCATGCCTATACCTTTCTTTATCTGCTGCTCCTGATAAATTTAAAGTCTGTTTTTTTATTAATCATTATTTGTTTTTTATTTTAACCATTTTTATTTGTTTTTTATTCTGGATATTTTGGGTTTTAAATATATATTTTTTTGAAATATATTAAATGCTATTTTAGATTTTTTTTTAAATAATAATTTTTTGTTTTTGGTATACAATTTAGATTTAATTTTTTGCTTAACTAAAAATATAACTATAAATAACCTAATTTTAGATAATTAAAGTGTAATTTTAACATTAGTGCCTTATAATTATATATTTAATGATGATTTATAGACAACTGGTCCATGAATCATTATTGATATTTGATCATTTTGAAAAAAATATTGCAATATCTTTTATTTTAATCATAAAAAGGCTTCCTCATTGGTTAGTTTGGCTAACTTGTGCCACAAAACCCAAAATTACTCTTTAGCTATATTCGCTATCAAAAAGGCTTTGCTATATTCGCCCAAGGCTATCATTTCCCATTTTACTATGGCTAATATGCTAGCAGCGCAAGTTTTAATAATAATTTGATTTTATTTTTTTTTTGAAAAATAGAATTTACGATTACATATAGGGTTGATCTTTAAATTTTTGATTGATGATAAATCATTTCTATTATTTTATGGATCCGTGATTTTTATATATGACCTTTATATCCGCCCGCTGAATCCCTCAGAACACTCAATGTCTCAGAACATTCAGTTGGGAAATAGCAATAACAATAAAAAATGCCACCCGCGTCTATATTCTTTATGGGATCGCTTCTTTTTTTTCTGAAACAGATTTATCTTGTTTGGAATTCTCGTGAAATCAAACTAAATTAGAAACCTTTTTTTTCTTTCCCCAATAAAATTATGGTCATTGTTTACCAAGATTTTTTATTTTCCGTTATTGCTGCCCTTCCAATATGGATGCCCTGAAGCATTTAGACTAACTTACGGCGAGGATTCGTGACAAGCATTCCTCTCAACTTGATTTTTAATCTAAAATACACAGGTGGCTTTAGTGTTTAGGTTGCTTGCACCATTAACCTATCTGATCATAAAACATTGAGAGCAGTCTTTATTCGTGATGACTAGCGAAACAAAATATCAAATGCTCTGATATGATAATAATAAAACCTGTGCAGGAGAGAAAATGATACAATTATGAGCCATACTAATTTAAAGGTCCTTAAACGTGTTAATGAATCAGTCATAAACTTCTTTAAAATTGAACCTCTCAGAAATAAAAACTGTGGGGAATAATTTTAGACAAATCTTCCATTTAATCTAATCAATACTAGATAAATCCCCAAAATAGGATTGGCTCTCGCTAAGAACTATGAGCAACGTTTTTTTTTGACAAAGAAGGGCATCTCTAAGAGCTGTCAAATAAAGAAAAGTTAGAACTAAAATATGATACTAAATCTTTATTAAATACTTAAATATAAAGTGAAAACATAAACAAAAGAAAAATAAAATATTAAGTTCGCAAAATAATAACTATAATCATCATACAAGTAAAATATTTCCGATTATATACACTTTTCTATACTATTCATTTACATAGTGTTTAAACAACAGACTTTTTAATCTGAATAATAAATCTTTTTTATTCATTTTTCTTATTTGAATATTACAACACCCTTCCACTTAGATTAGACCCCACATTCTGCGAAATACCAATATTCGTGCATGTATCCCATTACTGTTTTATTTCCTTCGCTCACTTACATCACCGATAGATTTTGTTTCTTGTCTTAGTCTGTTATTGATGAGCTCTTAGCGCTGACAACTAGATTAACGCATGCCTTTAAACGATACACGATTTCTAATCAACGATTATCGATACTACGTCTTAAATTCTCCTGATAAATTAACTTGGTCTTTTGCTTGTTTCTAACGTTCTCTTGTAACTAATGATCATTGCTTTATCTCGGTCAACGATGTGCGATGCTTGATCTACGATTAACGATTGTTTTCCCGAATTCTTGTTTTTAAGATCATCGATTTTGTATCCTTTACTAAAGTTTTGATAAGCAATTGGCGATAATTGATCAACGATTAACCATTGCATCCTGGTATTGACCACTTGTTTTATCTAGTCGCTTGTCACTATATCAACTTAAGATCTCTTATACGATAAATATTTCTTTTATCTTTTGATCTCAAATAAAAATTCGATCTCTATACGTGAGCTCGATTGCGGCATAAAATTTCTAATGACGAAAAACCGTTTCTCTTTGTGAAGATTTTTGGTTAATCTACAACCTAATATTATATAAAACGATCACTTGCACCTATAACGATCTCTTGTGACGACTTCTTTTTAGCTAAACGACAAATTTTATTCTTTTCCGAATTACGACCATTAATATTGATACCATTGTTTTATTGTTCTCATTCTTTGTCTTAGTGTCGATAGTCATTTCATACATCTCCTTCCCCCTTTATTTAGAATTTTTTTTCAGAGTTAATTAGACTGAATTGTTGTAATTGCCCTGGCATCTCCACTCTCCAATATCATTGTCACAGTTGGTATAATTTAGGATTGGGAGATTAGAACCATTGTCAAATAAAGAAAAGTTAGAACTAAAATATGATACTAAATCTTTATTAAATACTTAAATATAAAGTGAAAACATAAACAAAATAAAATTAATATAAATTAAAATTAAAAATTAAGTTCGCATAATAATTATAATCATCATAAAAGTAAAATATTCCCGATTATATATACTTTTCTATACTATTCATTTACATAGTGTTTAAACAACAAACTTAAAATCTTGAACTTTATTTAATCTGAATAGTGAATATTTTTTGTTCATTTTTCTTATTTGAATATTACAACAAGAACATTGTCTTGAGGTTACGCATGTAAAATACCACTAAGAAACGACTTGCTTTAGTTTTTAACTCAAATAGCCAGGGCAATTCTAAGAACATTGTCCTGCGGAGACGCATGTAAAATACCACTAAGAAACGACTTGCTTTAGTTTTTAACTCAAATAGCCAGGGCAATTCTAAGAACATTGTCCTGCGGAGACGCATGTAAAATACCACTAAGAAACGACTTGCTTTGCTTTAGTTTCTAACTTAAATAGCCAAACAAAGAAATTGCACATGAGAAATAACGGAACTCATGAAGTTATAAGCAATTAATTTAAAAAAAAATTACCCCCTTAAATTTGTAGAACTTTGGGAACGCTTCTCACTATAACTTTTTTTCAAGAAAGGGATAGTAAATTTTTTTAAATATAATTTAAAATATTAAACAAGTTTAAATTTTGAAAATAAATGTGATATTTTTATTTTCAAAAAAACATTTAGGCGCGTTTCCTAGGTCGCATTTATAGTGGCATCCGATACACGATTTAACAGCTGATCGATTTTTTTAAAATCCGTTCATGATATAGATTTTTGTATATTAGAATTAATATACCTTCGATTATTATCATGAATAGTTGGTCGAATAACATTATGGGGGGAAAATATTCGAGTATAGAAATTGGAAAACCGGAAATGTATTCCATTCCAGCATACGTATAATGCCTACCCTTAGAATTTCAGACAAAATTTCGCCATTTTTTTTAAAATTTTTATGAAAAATGTATATAAATAAGAGAATACTTTATAAGTTCTGGGCAAAAATTTTCTTAAATTTGCATCACAGTATGGAAGAGGCTTTATGCATGTTGGAATATAGATGACTGAGTAAAGAGATGCGCCTTGATGGAAGTAGGAGGAACAGACTTCGAGGAAAATCTGAGATTACGTGGGTAAAGATGATAGCGGCTGATATGAGGAAAATGAATCTTACAAATATTATAGGGGAATCTAGCTTATTCGGGTAAACCTGGAAATGGCCATTAAACGAAGAAGAAGAAGGATATATACATTAGCGGTCAAATCAGATATTTTTCAAATTCAAATCCTTTCATTAAGTGATTTTTATAATTGAAAGATTCCAAATCCCTCATGGATTCCGTCACCTAATACTAGGGCAACTTAGTTTACACATGCCCTAATACACTTCCTATTAAAAACAAATCAAACATTTCAAAAAAAACGCGCTAAAATATTGCTTAAACTCATATTTGTTTTTTTATATATATTTTGAGGATTAGAACGAACATATATTCCAAGTATGTGTTTTAAAAAAACAAACTATTCTTTAACTTTCAGACAATGCTATAGTTCAATATATATATATAAAAATTCGGCTTGAAAACGGATCTTCAGAAAAAAATATTCTCATATTGGTTCGGCTCGTGTTGGACCCGGAAAAGAATAGGTCTGAATGCAGAGTTCCAGTAGGAACATCATTAACGTATAGATCGAAAATAACAATTTGAGAGGAGTGCTTTACATAGTACATAATGATATATGGATATTAATGTATTGTCCAATTTCAGGCCATGTATATGTTGAGTTTATAGAAATCGTTTAAGTAATAGGCCGAATATTATTTTATTATATATAAAGTTTCCTAACCATATTTATTTTCACAACAAATTTAGGGCGATTTTGAAAACGCGCTTTTATACTACGCCTCGACCATTTCGTTGCAAGATTTCACTCCCGCTCGAGTCAAATTGCAAACCATTCTTTGTTTCCACGTGGATAGAATAGCGGTCTCATTGAAAATGCTCAGAGATAGGGATGAATTATGAACTTTTGGGATGATTTCATTTTTAAAAAATTAAAAATTATTACAAATTAAGGCTTTTAAACTATGTTTTTTTCAATATTTTTATATAAACAAATTTTATATTATTTATATTAGTATTAATTTATATTTTCATAAAAAAAAAATTTTTTTAGGTAAATATTATATTTCTTTTAAAAAAATCAAATAAAAGAAATCTTAAACCATAAAATTAGTTTTGTAGAAAAAAATGAAACATGTGAGTGTAATTAAGAAGAAAAAAGAAAAGAAAGAAAGTAAAAAGATTATTTTAAAGAAAAATACAATGAATGTGGGCGTCCTTCAAGCGTCGAATTTATTTGATTGAAATCATGAATATTAGAAACGTGGTTTAATAATGATATAAGATTTTTAGTTTATAAATATAACCGAAGAAAACGTTGTTATATTTAATAATACACGGGCGGTTTTTTTAGCGATACCCTATCGACAGCCTCTTGAATGATTTTGTCGACCCTTTTTTGACATTCAATCTTTTCCTCTTCCGACAATTTCTTTTTTTCTACGTTAACAGGTTGCGAAGCTATGACCATTTCGGGTAAATCATTTTTTGGCTCCTTGGGGATCTTTTTTTAAATTTATTTAAAATTTATACATAAATAGTCATAGTGTTGTTAAACGGCTCGTTTTGAGCCGATTTTTCAAAACGGCTAACTCAATATTTTAGCCAGAAAAATATTGTCTATAAGCCTCGAGATTTCGATAATATAGGTCTGAAACCTTTGTTCCTTTTATGAGTAAAATCTTCAGGCCTGCGTAATATTTTTATGGATGAAATATTGAGTTAGCCATTTTTAAAAATCGGCTCAAAACGAGCCATTTAACAACGAGTTAGAATATGTTATTTTAGCGATTCACTCTAACATCACAGTTAATGAATTCAGGGTTCAGCATAAATTTTCAAAGAAAAAATGAGTTATCTACTCAAGGAAATCATATGAGAAATATCGAATTCAGAGATGGTGCTCTATAGTCCTAAACTATATATAATTTAAAAACCTTAACATCTAAATCCAAATTGTCGAAATGGGCATTGGATGCTAGCCAGCCTTGACCCATGGTAGCTGTTCCAATTTGATTTTTGAAAAAAAGTAATTATTGCTTTAAGATTAAACTTGCAAATCATAAATGACGCCTCTTTTCTCTACTTAGCCAAAGTTCATGCTAATAAAAATATGTGTGATGTTTATTACACAGAATATAAGATAATATTTTTTATTATGATACAATAACTCTAATTTATTTAATCGAAGATAATCTTTAAATAAAATAAGATTATTTTGAATTTTGAGAATATTTTTTCATTTAATTTGTAAAAAAATTAGTCTAATTGAAAATTGTCATTTTCTGAAGAAATAAAAATGTGTTTTAAAGGATTTCATTGAAGGTTTTATTTCTAATTTATGGTAAGAATGAAGAACTAGAAAATAACTTTTAAAGCACACTAAGATCAAGTCTGAATCATTGACATACTCACCTATACTAATGATTTACTCATTAAAATGCATTTTGAAGCTTCTGAGAATATAAATCAGCTGACACATACAAATCAGCTACTTGGCTTTCAATAGAATTGTTTTTAATAAATTTTGATGCTAAATTGTTTATATGGGGAAAACAAAATATCATGCCACTAGCTGATATTTATTTGAATAAATCGCTAGTATAGATATTATCATTATGTCACTGGCCTCTGAACACATAAAATAATAATAAATTATGCCAGACTTTAGATCTTAACTAAAAAATAATTTCCGGTTCTAAATATTTTTTTAAAAAATGACTTCCGGTTTATAAATTTTATGAAAATGAGTTTTTTTAAAAGGGGAGATGAGTTTCCAGTTGCTGGGTTTCCCTGCTCTAAATATTTTATGAAAAATGCCATCTGGTTTTTAAATTTTAGGAATGGGGTTCCTATAAATTTTAAAAGTCCAGTTTCTATATTTACTCCGATTGCTTGGTTTCCGGCAAAATTTTTTTTACGAATGGCTTCAGGTTTCAAAAATTTTATCTAATTTCCGGTTCCTATAAATTTTAAAACAGTTTCCGGTTTCTTAGTTTTGTTCCGGTTGCTAATTTACCGGTTTCAAACTTCTTTAAACATATTATTCTTTCAATTTTTTTTTTTATAAGTCCAGAAAACTACATTTTAAGTTACGGTCTGGATGGATATCGTAGGTTGACTATTATAGTGTTCTATCTATACCCATTGTTTGAAAAAAATATTTCTTTTTATTAGCTGATCCACAATCTAACGATGCAAATAAAGGATTATTATTTTTATTGATGGTATGAAAAAAAATATATGTAAAACTAAGAATTTACTTTATTGAAGAAGAAAAGTGCATATAGAACACTCTAATACTAATCCGACGATATATAAAAATTTCGCCATTTTTTATTTTCGAACCATAAGAAGAGAGTGAAAAAAGTGAAATCACATGTTTTTAAAAAAAAAACCTGTTTGACATCTTTTTTCGATTTTTCGCAACAATTGCAATTGCCCATATAAGAGTTAGATGAGAGTTTATAACAAACATTCTTAATTTTTGTTTTTTAAAAATAATATTTTGGTAAACAAATTTATTTAATAGGTTATTTATTATTATCCCGGATTTTTTAAGAGGAAGAAGGGAGAAGAGGGCCTGTGTTGAAACTATTCTGCCACGTTAGAGACAGTCGTCAAAACAGAGCCACTCAATCAAGACCTCCCTTGTCATTAACTGACCCCCCCCCCCCAGATGACTTCTTATATAAATGATTCCATTATAAAATAGGATTACTCACTAGATATGACTAATGGATTACCTTCCGGACACTGAGTTAAGAGACCATTTTGAGTTAAAATAGACATTTATATATTGTGTCTTTTTTTTGTCAGGGTTCAAAACTGTTAAACATAGAAATAACAATTACATATTTCTGAACATAAATGAATCATTTATAAGAGAAGGACCAAAACATAAATTAGTCTGGATTTATTTGTGGGATCCGATCCTGCTTGATTTAACAGCTGGGCGAATTTATAAAATCTTTTAATGAGATCAATTTCGTATTTTCGTCCATTCGGTTAAAATGGATGACATTATTATTAATACAAATTTTTTATGCAAGTAATTATTCTATTTATGCATTTATTAAATTATATCAGATAATTTCCAAGTATTATTTTGCCAAATATTTAAGAAATAATCTTAATTTACAAACGATTAAATGGGCCAATCAGAATAGTGGACAAATTTACGGTAATAGAAAGGCAAATCAACTTTTCTTTGTCAAAATATAATACTTAGATTTATTATCATTAATAGCTTAATTTTAATAATAAAGAAAAATTGATCATTAACAGATCATAAAAATCGATCAGCTGTTAAATCGTGTCGGATTGAATCCCCCTATGAATTCAGCCCAATTTTTTCTTCGAATCTATTTTAAAAAAATTTTTGTTTTAAGTAAATTATTTTAAGGAACTAATATTAACTAATTTGTAGAAAACAGTAACTAGTGTTGTTAATTTGCTTGGTCATAAAATTTACGTTCCAATTTTTTGCTCGGACCTGCTCTAAGCACGCTAAGAACAGACCCGGGGTTCAGAGCCTGGGATGTTTTAGTTGATTTTTAGACCATGGTCTGGGGTTTACCCAACCAATCGATTAACAACACTAACCGTTACTATTTTTAAATTTATCGTCATAACGGTTATACTTGGTTACTAAAAAGAAAAATACATTTTTTTTGTTAATTTACTAAATTAGAAATTTGATAATTAACCTAGAGTGGAAGGGAGGGGTACTCTTCTTTTTAAAAAATTAAAAATACATTTTAAAAAAATTAATAAATTTTCCCTACCCGAGATACCTTTTTTTTAACTTTGATTTTGTATTAAATATCGCTGAGGGAGGATGATTTAGTATTACGGTAAATAATACGGATACGCCATGCGTTGATCATCGCTCGAAACGATAACCTGTATAAGGGCGCATTTATAGTAAACGCGTTATGTTCAAGTGTTGCGTTATTTACAAAATCTAGCCTATAGGTAATAATTTATAAATACGGAGCATTACGATGATAACGCTATGATAAAATTTAATAAAACATATGTTTCGATGCGTAGATACAAAAAAATATGCGATACCATTATAGAAATAATAGCGAATTCGATTAAAAGGATTATATAAAACTTAACGCTCAGTTTTACTTTGTTAGTAACGTCATGAGGAATCAGCTGTGATTACGATCCGGTTAAAAAAACGCAGCGCTTTAAGATAACGCGTTAAACTATAAATACAGCATATAATTACTATTATAATATATTTTTAATTTTTAAATATAGCTTACAAATAAATCAATAATGTTAAAATATAAGGATCTAAATAGCTGTATTAAGTTAAAGTGTAATTTGAAAGATAACTAAATAAATTCCAACATTTTTTTACAATTTAGGACAACCCTACGCCCCCAAATATAGTTTTATTTTTAAACCAAAAAGAAAGAAATTTATTTACTTACGAAAATAACGTTCCATTAACGAATAATTTAAAGCATTATGATTAGAAAATGGAAAAAAATTAATAATAATTAGTTTTCTAAATATATTATTTTACATTTATCTAATAAAATATACTATTCTACATCAGAGCATTTATAAAATAAATGAATATTATTAATTTGCCATACCTTATAAAAATAACCTCAAGATTTCGACCGATATGTTTTACCTAATCAATATATTATCCGGGCTCAGTACCAAACCCAAATTGCCCAAGTTCGGATAGCAGTATTCGTGAACCTAAACCCGAACTCATTCTAAAGCTCCCTGTGAACGAGAACAGAACCCATTTTCGGAAGAATTTTGGTTCGATTCGGTTTTTTATTATGAAAATGTTGTAAGGTGTTTTGATTGTATACGATTTAATAAAAATTTAAATAATTGATATTTTT